AAAAGGGAAAAGAAAAAAATGAAATATAAAAGCAGAACGGATGCCCAACATGTACGACGCTCGTGCCATGCCTGCTTAACAATGTTGAGAGCCAATTCCCTGTCGTAGACGTAGTTTGCAATTAACCGGTACGCATATTGCCTGTTATCGTCATGCTTCTTTGCAAAGGTTATTATCCTGTCCACCTTCCTTCGGGCCTCCTTTGCCTTGGCCTCCGTTGTTACAATTTTACCGTGTCGGAGAAGCTGCGCAAGAGTGGGGAAAATAAATTCGTGCGTTAGCATATTTCGTCCCTTAGCATATTTCGTTCGTTATCATATTTCGTGTGTATCCAAGCACACAAATGAGTGCACTTAGCAGAACTCCATCTTGCGCATAGGCATCAGACCACATGTGAGCTGTGCAACAGGGGGCGACAAAAACATAGGCATAAGAAACGTACACTGGTGGTTAGGGCTCTTAGCAGGGCTCTCCTTTGCGCTCTGTCTCTCCCCAATTTCCTGAAATTTTTGTTGGTATGTGCCAGGAGTGAGGTACTTCTATTATGCAAAACCGTTTTGAAGCTACTTCTATTTAGTATCCCTTCTCCGGACATACTCTGCTTTAACACATAAGCCAGTAAATTTTTGCAGAGGAAAAAAAACAATATGTGAATCTTCATTTGTTCATTTTAGGCAAAAAGTGAAGTTGAGGCGGCAATCAAAATTGGGTGGAAAGGCGAAAGCTGTTCAAGGGTAGCAAATGTGCAAAGGGACAATATGAAGATAATCTTCTCACGAAAAAAAACAGGGCCAATGTTACCGACGCGCGTAATAAATGAGGGGGGTACACCAATTTAGAGTACATAAAAAGTTGGTCACGAAGTGATGTAATACTGCATCAGCTGGACCTTTCGAGTTGTCTCAATTCACTTAGTATAAACGGTCCCTTAAAGGATTGGGAACGGACTGATACATGCAAAATCTAGATGATTTACTCAGCATTGCTGCTAAACGTGGGCAGCGAAAAAATTGAAGCAAAATTTGTTATACCTTTCACTTTACGGAAAAGTGTATACCATAATGGTTACCCCCCCCATCCTGCACTTAAAGGCTACATTAATTTGACCTGTTCTCGTTAGTAAAAAAAAAAAGAAAAAAACGGTTGAAGCGAACATGGAAATGAAATTCCGAAAAAAAAACAAGGGTCTCGTTTTCTTGGGCTATAACCTTAACCCATGTTTAAGTGGTGAGAAAGAACTGCTTAAAATTTATTTCGTTAAATTTAGCCCCAGGAAATTGTGCTTACCGTTTTGACAAAAGAATACGACATTTAAAACGTAATTAAAAATATATATTTATGTACGTAAGGACACATGGATAAAAAATGGTTATAAAAAGAGGCCTAAGCATAAACCCAAAAAAAAAAGAAAGAAAAGAAATCGAAAGGGAACTTTTTTTGTGCAGCTGTCCGCCCACCTCATTGGTAGAAATAAGCCAATTTATTGTCAGAAAGAAAAAAAGAAAAAACAATACTTGTGTAGTACGTGTTCCCTCTCGTCGTGTGGCACAAAAATATAGGGCTTACCGTGAGGGTAAAAACGCCCATAAAAGGGCAAACGATTTTCTGCTTTATTCATTATTCTACGCAAAAAAGATGGAGCGTAAAAAGTTCACCCCAAAAGGGAACGTAAGAACAAACAAACACACGCGGGTGATACGTAATATATATATTTGTTTCTTATGCATATGCCTCTACGCATATTTCACAAACGAATAGGTTGACAACCCGTGGCACTGCATGGCAACAAAAAAACGGACTGCGCTTCTGAAGCGGAGGAATAAAACGTGACTAGGCCCCTCAATGAAAAAGGGCTTTTGCGCAGATGGATATATAAAGATACAAATGTGCGTGCTTTTAGTGACCTCTCCGGTGGGGGAATTTCCCGAGTCATCCAATATTTGTGTGTAAGGTGGGTAAGCTTCCTGTCTGGCCACAGGCACTACACTCTCTACGACGCTGCTTTCGCTCCTTTCGCTGCTCTCCCTAGGCGCCCTTCTCGTGTCTCGTCGTCTTCTTCATGTAGCTTTTTCCCCTTCTCATGGCGGCGACCGCGTTATGCACCTTCTCCGTTTCAAACTCCGCGCGCTCCTGAACCCTGGAGAATCTCTCAAAGTCGCCGATGAGCGTGTTTGCAAATCCTTCCGTAATGGAGGCAGAAAGGTTCAGCAGGCCAAAGATTGGAGAAAAAATGCACCTGAGAATACACCCGATTATGATGCACACAGTTTTTAGAGTGCTGTTTCCTTTGTTTAGAGAGATCTTCGGATCATTGAATAACGAAACCCAGGGTCTGTAAAATGTATCTAGAAGCAATCCATCAAATCCGAGAATTATAGAATCTAAGATACTTGGTGGTCGTGGCCTTGAACCTCCCATTAATTTATGACAGACATTTAACATATGACTTAAAGATTGGAATAACCCCCCAACAGTGTTCACAACAAGTATGATAATTCCGCACTTAAATCCGGACATGAATCCATCGAAGCAGTTTGAACTCGTTTTAACTCCCCTAACCGTTTCTTTAAACAGGGCAAAGATTCCATTTATGAACCCTTTGATAAACGCAAAGGGGTTGGATAGCCATGCGCTGGGTAGGGACTGTCTCAGAAGTTGTCTGAAGTAAGAGACCCTTAAAGACTGGAATAAGCCATCCCATGTACAGACCATATAATTCCTCTTTTGCGAAATCAAATGTATTCTCATAGAGGGAGTATCGACGGGTAGTGCATCCACAATGTGTAGTATTCTCCTTGAAATCCTGTGTTCGGAAGTCCTTATAGAGGCTATAATTTCAATGGGGGTAATTTTGAACTCCCTGATATATACATGCTTGCTCTGATTGTCCATCCATCTCGGATTTGGGTGCAAAAATAGGTGAGAAGAAAATGCATTCATAAAAATTTTCTGATTTCTGAAGTACTGAATCTTTATTGGCAACACACGCTCATCATTCATGTTGTTAATGTTGTAGTAGGTATTATTGATCAAATTATGCACTTTCTTGTACTTATAATACCCTACTAACTTTTTGCATATTTTTTTATGTACACTGTTGGTGTTTTTATTTTTTCTACTCAGATTTGTTGATATGGAGCTGTTGGTGGAGTCCTCCGAACACATTTTCTCAGTGATTTTGTTAATGCTGAGTAGTCTATTCTGTGTTATCATTCTAGCTTTGGGGGAGCTAAAATAATACGAATAAGCATTTGGCTTAATTTCTGCTTCGCTGTCCTTCATGCGTTTGTGCTCATAGTTACGTATAGTCTTGTATTTATTTTGGTATTTATTTGTAGAATTCAAGATAATACTATTATTCACAATTTGGTTGTTCTTCAGGATGAAATCCTTCTTTGTTTTCCTCCTGATATAATCGTCCAAATATATCATTTTGAGAAAGTTCGCATCGGAAAATATTTTCAGCGTTGTGTTAATGGCACTTCTCGCCGTTTCTGATGTCGCAATGAGAGGGGGTAATGATTTCTCTTCCCGTTCGTACAGCAACAACAGCTGCTTTTCCTTCTCTATAATTTCTATTAACTGCTCAATCACCAACAATTCGATGTTCGCGTTGATGGGGGAGATCTTAATCATTATACTTTGATATATGGGGGCCTGCTTAAACGAGTCCACACAGTACTGCTTTACGTGAATATATAAAAATATGTCTTCATTCTCCTCAATATTGGTGTTTTTCAGGATGACGGGGATGTCCCCCTTTACGAAGTGGTCTATATGAATCTGCTCGATCAGGAAAATGGAATCTACATAACTGTTCAGAAAAACGTACTGTACGTATTCTTCCACTTCTTTCCTTTTTAAAATGTTGATGGGTGTGAACATCTGATTTATATCGTAGTTGATAATTTCTTTGGGGTATATATGACCACTGTATTTCAAATTGGACAGGTGGATAGCAATGATCACGTCTTGTCTGTGAATCCACGTGACGGTCAATCTGGGGATGTTAATTTTGTATATCACAGGAACGATTGGAAAATTGAAATAAACAAAATTCTTTTTTTTATAATCCAACATGTATTTCCTGTTGGCGTTTTTATTCGATAGTAAGATTTTTTTCCTGCTACTTATGGCGATTAACTTATGAATTTTACTGAAATTTTTTGTGCTCACAATTTCTCTTGCTAGATTATACTTTTCTGTGATGACAATAGCTCTGCTTCCATTATCTCTTATAATCAGAAAGGAGTATAACTCTTTGTTGACCAAGTTATGCCCTAGCAACATGTTATCCTTTTCCATTTTCTCTCTTCTCTTTCCATCCTCTTCCTTTTCTCCATCCCCGTTAAGAATGCGGTTGTCGTTTTTCACTTCTGCGAAGCTATCGTTGGAGTGGAATTCTCCCAAAAGGACATTCCCCCCTCTACTTTGCAGGTACGTTTTTTGTGAATTTCTTCGACGTGTTATAAAATATGCGTCTTTCTCATTTTTGTGGCTATCTCTCCTACCCCTGAAACTCTTCTCCGACGAACGCTTATTCTCCGATGAAAGCTTATTCTCCCCGTACACTCTATAAGGCAGCATGACCACATTGTCAATGAAGGAGTTAATAGAATTGATGCACCACGAGCTTTTCTGGACGCCCACAATTTTCAGGGCAATTTTGGAGGACTCAATTTCGTTATTGTTCCTCAGGGTGTAGTAAATGGAGCTGTAAGGATAAATCATCTTCACAGGGAAGTCTCCATTCTTCGTGCTTCTGCCCAAATATCTGTCGTAGTTATTGTTCATATACTTCTTTGTGTACTTATTCACATCCGTTGCGTACGCTATGATAAATTTCGTGGCGTTGATAATTTCGAATTTGGGTCTAACCGGAAGACTTAGAATGTAAAAGTACCCATTGTATGCGTACGGCAATTGCTGCTTGTCTCCAAAAATACCACTGCACACGTTTACTTCTACCAGCAAATTGTTTGTGTTATTTATCTGCGATTTATTTATGTTGAATAATTCGATCTGGAAATTCGATGGGACATTCTTCGGGATTAGGGAAAAAGGCTGCGAGCTGTATCCCTCTGTGATGTCCTTTATCTTTATGTAACTCCTATGGTAGTGGAAAGCTGTGATTTCTCCACTTCTTATGTACGTCTCATTTTTCTTTGCCATTTCTGCATCATTTGCGTTTTTACTATTGGTACTATATGTTTGCACCGTCTGGTTTCCCTCCACAGTTGGTGCTTTGTTATGGTCATAATTTGCAGAGCTTCTCTCCACCATCAGGTGGCTCCTACCTTCGATATGCCCTCCATGTTCGTTAAAGCTGCTATGGTTTATGTTGGACGCTTTTCTAGAACCCCCGTTTGTCGTATTTCTCTCCTTTTGGGTATCCCCAATTCGGAAGGCTTCCATGTCTGCCGCTTCGTCCTTGCTTACGTCAAGGGTGAAAATTTCCCTCCCTCTGGACGAATCACCGACGTTAATTGCGCACACGTCTTTTTCCATCGTGGTGTGTCTCGACGATTTATAGTTATTCACACTTTTGTTAACGGTGAGGGCATCTAATGGGAGTATTTCTTTATACGCGTTGTTAAAATCTGAGTTAAGGACTACATTATTGGTTGTAAAAATGCTATCTGACTTTCTACCCGAGTCGGTAGCAATTTTTACGTCGAATGGAAGCCTATTTATGAATATATAGCTATTGACAAAGGTAACAATTTTTGATTTATTAAATGGCTCCTCGGCATATCTGACGCAGATTCCTAAGGACAGAAATCCTCCTTCGTAATAATCCTTTTTCTTCATTTTCGATTTTCTGTTTTCTCTCTTATTTCTTGTGAAATCCCTCAGTGACGTCCTTCTTTTTGTATCCGGTTTGTGGTTCACTTCGTTAGCGCCCTCGTCTCCTGCTTCGTCTCCAACTTCGTCTCCTTCTTCATCTGCAGCTTCGTTCTCAGCTTCTATCTGAACATCGTTTCTGTTCCATTTAGAGTGCAGGTTGCTCTCCAGGAAGGCTATCCTTGTAGGGGAGGCATCTCCATTTTGTCCTCGCTGAAAAGACTTCCCTTTGCTTGCGATTTTGTTGTAATTGTCGCTCTGTGAGGAACTGCCATCAAAATGGTACTTTCCCGAGGATAACTTTGCACTTTTTGCATGGCTTGCCGATCCATTGGGCACCTTCCCCTTGTGTCTCCTGTTGATGGAGCTGAAGAAAGGGGTTATTTTGAACCGCTTTTTCTTATACATTCCTTTTTCCCCTTTGCTAAGTTTTGAATTGTTCTTTTCGCTTTTATTTTCGCGCTCGTTATCATGTGCCCCTTTTATTCTCTTCTTTTTTCTCTTTTTTATCAAACTGAACTTCAAAATGTCGTGCTTGTTCTTCCTTCTGTTGCTCGCATGGAACGCATCATCCTCTTCGTCTTCGTCTACGCCCGCCCCGTCGTCCTCCTCTGCTTCTTCCTCTTCTTCCACTTCCTCCTTTTCCATTTCGATCTGATCATTCGCGTTATCGTCGGAAATGTCTTCGTCAAATTCGGAGCACTTCCTCGTTTCTTCCTTCTCCTTAAACAGATGGAAAATGCTAAAACTTACCTGCGAGGCGGGGAAAGCTCCTGTTGATTTTTCATTTTCTGAAGAGAAGGAATCGTGTATGTCTCTTCCTCCCTGGGATGACAAATCCTTGTCCTTCTTCTCTTTGCTAAAATATTTATGTCCCAACTTATCAAGTGAGTACAAATTTTTGATGAAAAGTCTTTTCTGGCCCGATCCCCTCGTTGAGTAGCTAAAATTCGTCCTCTTCATTTTTCTCCTCTTCTTACTTTTTTTTTTCAACTTGCTATCATTATCATGTGTATCGTAGTAACTGCTATCGACGGAGTCCTCATTTCCGTCGTTTCCATAGGGTTCTTCCCTCTCATCCATGTTTTCAAAATATCCTTCATCTTCTCGCACTGCATGTATTTTGTCTCTTTTTACATGCATATGAAATAATCTAAATTTTCTAATTCTTTTAGAATTTCTAATTGAGCCTGACGATTTCTCACTCATTTTTCTTCTTCTCGTAAATAGGGTTTTATTACTCATGAGCATATTTTTGAGTGCATTTTTATACGACTTGTGTGTTGGCGACTTTTTGGTGGTTTTGCCCCTTGCCTCCTCATTTGAGTCTGCTGAGATTTCAGAGAACTTGGAGTTACAATAATATAAATCATTCTTGTTGTGTGGGAGGTAATAGGGGTCACTTAAGTTTTTCGAACAGGTTATTTCGTCTGTCTTTTCAGATAGTTTCCTTGGGGTGTGTTCACCTAGCTCGCTTTGTTTCTCTTCGCTGTTTGTCTCATTTCTTAGAGATTTTGCAGAACCCAGAGCGGGGGCGTCATTCGTGTTGTTCGTTTTGCTGCTGTTATTCGTATTTTTCTTTTCTTTCGTGTCTCGTTTGTCCACCTCGCCATCATAATCATTAAATAAATTATCGTCTTTCTCTTTCACTGCGTCATCGATGTCTTTCACTACTTTTACCTTGAATCTGCTTAGTGCTTTCACCATATCTGCGTCATCCCCAGGAGTGTGTTGTTCCTCTTCCTCCTCGAAGCCAGGCGCGTTCATTAAGTTGCTGTTTTTTTTTTTCCTCTCTTCATATTTTTCCCAAAATCGCACCTTCTGCTTTCTGGTGATTTTTCTATAAATCAAATTTATCAGAGGTCGTATCATGTTAGTCCTTGTGCAGTCAATCTTGCCGCTGACATTACTGCACAGAATTAAATTGTTATCATAATCATGCTTGTACGATTTAATCCTCACACTTTTGGCTTCCTCCTCCGTCATGTATAAACGGCTATTGGGCGGCAACAACTTGTTATTTACGTAGATGCACACATTTGTTGTATTTTCAAAAAAGAAGGGGAAATAAAAATCGATTTTTCTCCTGGACACATCAGCAGAAACAGTGATGTTTTTAAAAGTGTGCAAATAATCATACACCTTCCTATTCATTTGATTTATTTTATTTTCGAAATAAATATACTTCAATTCGTCATACGAGAAGATATTGCCAATTAGACCAAACTTGTGGTTCAGCACCTTGGTCGACGTAATCGTATCAGTGGTTGGCATATAAATGGGAAAAAAACCTTCCGTTGCGTACAAAAAATTGTACTTGAAATTATTCCTCCCCTGATAGTTATTCTCCTCGTTTTCGTCAAAACTGTGCATATTGTTTATGTTTTTTCTGAATAAATTGTCGTAGATGTTTTTTTTTCTGTTCGTGCTGGGACTATTACAACTGGTTGCTTCTCCATTCCTGTCATTGTTTTGAAATTCCTTCATCATTTCGTCGTACAGCATTCGGCTGTCTCTCTTGATGTTGGACGCACCTCTATTTCTGTACTGCCAATAGTTGATATTTTTGGCGTGCTCCTCCTTCAAGTTACACGCACCGTCTCCATTGCTTCGGTTGTGGTTGTTGTGGATGTTCTTGTCGTCGTTGCCAGCGGTTCGATCATCATCTGCGCGATGGTTTGCGCCATGGCTTGTGCGATCGTTTGTGGCGCCGCCTTCAGCATTCACGGCGTAGGACTCGCACGCGCTGCTTCCCTGGCTGCCCTTCTTCATCGCGCTATTAATATTGCCCCCGTAGAACGCCTCGTTCCAGTCGGGCAGCTTGACGTCCTTGAAATCGTAGTAGCCCTTAATTTCATTTGCGTAGTCATATATGAAATTCATCTTCTCTATTTGCAGTCCATGGTAAAACATCTTCATGTAAAACGCCTGTGTGCAGATGGGCAAGCACCAATAATGATGCGGAGGCACCAGGGCGAATAGTTCCTGCTTCTTCAAAATTTTCGTAATGTCATCATTCATTTCGTAGTTCGTTTTGTGGAGCTTTTCTTCCTCGATCTTATTTTCCTTCTTCTTTTTACTGATGCTGAACAGACTTTTCTTCTTCTTCATTCTAACAATGACCGTGATGGGGTTTGGTAGGTTGTTCTTTATGGTGACCATGGGTTCTATGACAACCGTGTAATTGTAGGAAGTGTCTTTTATATGCTGAGTGGGAACATCCTTAACTTTTACGAAACAGTGAAACATTATCAAGCCTTTAAAAATTATCTCAGATGGGGATATGTCTAGCTTCTTCTGGTAAATGTTATTGTTATTAAGGGCATACTTATTTAATAGTTTGTAAAGGATATTAAATGGAACAGCTTCGATGTCCAAGTTTTCTTCTTCTTTATTGCTTTTTCTTAAGTTTTTCATGTTATATTTTTTTTCTTTTTTTCTGAGAATTTTAATGTATGGCAAACTACAATCGTACAACCAGAAGAGCGGAATGGCTCTCTTGCTGAAAGGCAATATGTTTATGTAGTCTCCTTTTTTCGATCTTTCCTTTTTCTTGTTTTTTTCTACATGTGGTGTAAAATGTTTATTATTATGACGATGATAACTGTGGTGGTTATGCTGCTGGTCGTGCTGGTAGTGATAATTTTTTACGTTCCCTTTGCTCTTCTTTTTATGCTTTTCATTTTTTGCTCCTCCATCTGATGTTTCCCACGCAGAGTAGTTCGCGCTGGATTTTCTGTTTTTTTTTAGCTTCCACCTGAAATGTACACGCGAAAAATAGTTTGTCTTGCCTTCCTTGTATATTCTGAAATACAGCCCCGAGTTGTTTTCGATTTGTATGCAGGTACCTATGGAGAGGCACCACTTGTTTCTTATGATTTCGGGCTCAACCAGCAAGTTGTGCTTGACCTGCGCAGGGTGGGAAAAATGAGGATCATGTTGTAGACACGTGGAATGAATTCCCACGTTGTGGTGATGATGGTGAAAAAACACTCAGGGCACATCAGTATCATTGGTAACAGAAAAGATCCCCTGAAGATGTCTGCCCCCTCGTTGCGCTAGACAGCATCAATGAACACCAGCAATGGTGAGCTTGGACGGCCGGCACAGTTCTGCTGTCTCTTTTGGGAAATATCTCATGGGAGCGCATTGTTGTTTGCGCATTAGGTAAATGATTGCAGGCGTCTGCGTGCCATATGGCTCAAAAAGTTGTTCACTCTGTTGCGCTCCGATTGTTTCTTATCGCTCGCTGATCCTGCTGCCCCTTTTCACACGACACTTACATTCGGAACCTTATACGCACGCGAGTACAAATCGTCCGTGTATAGCACGCCGATGTAAATCCAGGAGGGCTTCTTCTTTATTATGTTGATAATTTTGTTGTCCTTGTCGTGGTCCCTGTATAGGAAGGGCATCCGGTAGGTGAGCTGATGGAGGATGTCATACACACTCTGTGTGTTGTCATAGAGGAGGTGCTTCTCATGCTTGGCCACTGAGTTGTGCAGATTCTTTTTTTTAAAACCAATTTTGCATATGTCCTTGAAAACGCTATTCAAGTCGTGTTCATTGGTGATAATGAAATCTTCCGAGTTCCTAGTCATTTCGTAAAATTCAGAGTTCATCTTCTTTTTCTCCTTCTGCTTGTTAATGCAAAAGTAGAGGCACTCGCAGGGAAACTGGTGGTATTCGTTCTTGTCTATAATGTTCAACTTCCATGTGTAGTTGTTATTCTTCGTCCTCGTTTTGTAAAAAATGATAATTTCTGAGTGAAGATCATTGTAAATCTCAATGTTGGAGTTCTTCACGTCACTGATGTCTTTCTTAAAATTTAAATTTGCGTACAAGTATTTGTACAAGTAGAGGAACGAAGTGGTGATATTCAAGTTGATGCTTGTGGTGTAGAAGTGGACATACAAAATAGGAAAATATTTAAATTTCTCATTTATTAGAAAGTTAAACGTTATGGGATTTATTATATTGTCCTGAATGTTGTACATATTGTCATATGTTTTTAAGCTTACTTTAAAAGTCAAATGCATTTTAATACAATTTTTTTTTTTTTTTTTTCTTTTTATTTCCCCGCTGGAAGTTACACAGTTCGTCATGAATGGCAGATTCTTCAGCGGACAATTCGTACCATAGACTGTCCATATACAAATTGCTGTTCACTCTTTTCTTCATTTCGCTCTTTTCCTTGATGGCGTAGATATCTTCAAATTTAATTTTCTCTACCTTGTCGTTCAGGTAGAAACCAACATTCTCATTCGTCTTGTGAAAAAGAAAATGATACTGATAGAGACAGGTAAACATATAGTAATTCAAGTCGTACAGATTTAGCGTTAATATATTTTCCTTGTTTAGTTGGTGTATTTTGAGGCCCACATTGTTAACTCGGATTTTTATCTTTATCTTTATTCCCTTTTTGTGAAACATGTAGGATTTGTTTTTCCTTACTTCGGTTTCTTTGCCTTCTTTTGAGTTGAGAGCATCGAATTTGGTCAGTAGGTTTTCTTCCATTCCCTTGTTCATCCTGTATAGGTCGTTCAGTTCGGAGGTCATTTCACGGCTGCTTTCGTTCTGTATGTGTTTATTTTTCGTTTCGTCATCCTGACCCATTTCGTAAAAGGCGATATTGTGGCGCAGCAGCAGACCATCTTCCTGCGAGAGGGACGAAAGGTGCCGCTTCCGTCTGAACATTCTCTTCAAATTCTGCTTCTTCCTATTTGTCATGGGAGCGCATTTTTTATGTCTGTACATGTACGGCTGGTAGAGATAAAGAAGGGCAGAAATAATGAAACAGGACAAATTCTTCTTGGTCACTTCGTTCTCTTTGAGCATTTCCTCCTTCTTAATATTCTCGTTTATCTCCTTCTGTAGGGCATAGTTCTCGTTCATGATGGGGCTACTTCCACTGTTGTGTACCATGGAAATGTCCTTCTCATGAGGGGACACCCCACTGTTATTGTAAGTGACCGTGTGTGTAAGCTGTTTACTCATCCTTTCTCCAACATGACACACATGCAGATTTCCAATCTTCTTGGTGAAGTAGGTAAAATATTTGTAGTCAAAATATTTCTTTATACTACACAGATAATCTGCGAATTTATTATATTTCGAAAAAACGAACAAGTAGTAAAACAAGTTCGTGACATATTTATTGCTATATGAGTACAGACAACAGAGTGGCTTTAGGAAGACTAGTCCATGGCATATGATGTTTTTCTCGTCGTTAATATTTCTAATTATGGAAAATAGCTGACTGTACAGGTAGTAGAGATTCTCTCGGTACTGTTCTATCTTCACATAGGTATCCTTCAACGTATGAATAATTTCCGTGTACTTCCTGTTTTTCTCTTCTAGGTCGATAAAAGTCTGCATTTTTGCATAATAATGAACCATTTTTTTGTATATATTAAGATTTTTAATGAGAAAATATTTACGAGCCGTGTACATCGTTGTTATATGATCGTTGATGTAATTTTCATTTTCCTCCATGTCGTGAACATGTAATGTCTTTTCCCTAATCAGGTTGTACACGTCTACTTTCTTTTCGTCCCTTTTTTCCGCACTTTTCTCGTTCCTCTCTTCGTCCGTCTTTCCAATTACTTCGTCCATGTCATTAAAGGAGATACATTTATTTCTGCACTGTGACTTATCTTTTATTAATACGTCTTCCCTTTTTTTCGATAGTATGCCAAATTTGTTGTTGGCATTTGGCGAGGTACCCTCTGAGGGGTGTCCGTCCATTCGGTCGACTCGGTCGATTCGATCCATTCGGTCATTCCTTTGGGGGATTGTCCCAAATGGGAGTGTGTCATATGGGTCTTCCTTTCCACATGGGCTGTTAACACTGATAGGTGGGTACGCATCACACGAGTCAGTGCATTTGCTTGCATATTTTACTCCATGCAAACTCGTATACTCTGAGTTCATGCTTTTCGTTACCTTGCACTTGTTGTGCAGAGTATTTTTGTCCAGAACCTTCAGCTTGTTCATGCTTCTTAGGTACACTCCATTTATCTTCAATTTTTCGTTTGATTTTTCGATACACGTTTTATCCTTGTGCATAAATGGAATCACATAAATGTTCCTTACAAAGGAAAGATAATTTATATAAAACTGTGCGTAGTAAATATTGTAGTTAAAATTGGTCTGCAGTTTATATAGCTCTTTTATATTGTCTATGTTTAGGTTTATGAGCAGTTCGTGGCAACTTAAGTTAAAGGATCTTTTGGTTCTTAGCGAATTTACAAATAAATACACACTGTTGATGCTTAGCAGCCAGTCATTTTCGTCCTTAATGTTTGGCATAAATATATTATTGTTATGATTCAGAAAAATGTTAAACTTGTCTTTGTAAATAATTTTGTTCTTATTCTTCAGTATAAACAGGTTACTATATCTCACCAGTGCCTTCTTCTCCCGGTTGTGCTTTCGTGAGAGGTTGCCGTAAACCTCGGAGCTGTTCCATCTGAGCATATCCTCTGCAAGGTTGTGACGCCTTTTTTTCGCCTGGTCAGAGAACTCCGCTTCGTGCGTAGAGCTAAACGTTATGCTTTTCTCTGCCGGATTGAAAGCGTCCTTTTCTGCCTTCCAAGATAGATCATTTGTTATGCCTCCATCGCTTAGGTATCTGTCTGAGTGCTTTTCGGCACTGGTTGCTCCATAACTAGGTACTTCCTCTCCACTGCGGGTGTCTTCCCTATGGGCTAGATCCCCGTGAGCAATGTGATGATGGATGCGCCTACCGCCCCTCTGCTTCCCATTTCTGATCATCCGCTTGGCCATCTTCGCATTCCTCATCTCGTTGTAGTATATATTATAGAAGTTGGGGTTATCATAAAAGGCATATTCCATTTCGGTGCTGGCAACTTTGTCGTTTCGATTGTGCAGTTTCTTTACGTACGCATAATTCCTCTCTCTGCTAGAAGCATCATGTAGTTGATGTAAATCGAGAATTCCCGAGGTGTAGACAGAGGGCCTGAAGTTGTTGCCGCTCCTGTACAGCTTCAGCTGATCATAGATGTCACTAAAGTTGAAGCACTTCCCTGACATGATGTTTAAGTTATTCACTTGTATCTTAAGCTTTGATGAGTCCATTTTTTTCTGTTCCTTGTAATATGTGTCTACACTAAAAATGATGGAGAGGCATATATTCCTATTGTTGTCTCTTATGTTTTTCCTTTTTTGTTTTTTCTTCTCCCACTTGAGGTACTCATTCCATTTATTTATTTTTTGGTTTGCCAGGGCTTTAAAGAGGTCCTTCTCCCCAACATATCTATCAGCATAAATGTTCATGTTGCTATTTGACTTGCCTAAAAAGAGTGACAACGGTTTGTCTTTACGATAGGTGTAGTCACTGAGGGAGGAGGAGTCCACCCAGATGTGGGAATCGGCGGTATTTCCCACATTTAGTCTGACCATACTTTTTTCTATCTGGTTTTCCTTTTCCTTAACATTATTCTTTTTCCTTCTAATGACGTGTTTAGCATTTTCGTTCAAATCTTCTAAATCATTTTTGGAGGCCTTCCTTTTGGCAAGATAAAAAATCTGCTTGTTGATTTTCTTATTCATAAATGTGTTGAAATGATTTCTGGATTTTTCCAGGATATTCAGGATATTTACGTTACTACCAGAGTTGGTAGAGCTAACAGATTTGATGCTCAAGTTTTGGGCTTCCTCCACTTGTTCATATAGGTAATCTTCCCCATAACTATTCGATTCACCTATCATGTTTTTTCTCGATCGTCTGGTACCTCTCATTTGATTTTCTCCCTTTGTTGGTTTATGATTGTCTAGAGAGGAGGACGTGAAAATGTTGTTTTTTTTTTTTGTTTTTTTCAGAAATGAGCTGACCCGCATATTTCTCTTTTTCTGAGCGTGCAAATTGAACAGATCTTCTTGGATAACCCAAGTTTCGAACAGGTTCATCTTCATCTTTAAGGAAATGCATTTGTTTCTAAAAACGTGTATATTGTTGAACGAAGTTAAGGGGTTGTTTGTTGAGCTAGCGTCAGATTCGTCTCTTAATTTATGCAGCACTGAGTTATAGTCCGTGGAGAATAACTCGTTCGAAGTGTTCGACATGCTGTCTCTTTTTTTGTCATCCCCATAGTGGTTCTTATTCCCCAACATATAGGAGGATAACTTGCGGGTAAAAAATTTTCTTATGGTAGTTTTTAATTTTGTAGAGAATCCCTTAACTTCGTGGACATCCTGCTTGATATATTGCTTCTTCTTGTACTCCTCCGCTCGGTCATTCTTCATCTTATCATAAATAATTGACCCGGATTTTATGATCGTTTTTTGGTTTGTCAAGCTGCCTATGCTACTATACGGAATGATCTCTTCATGTTCGTTTTTTATAGAAACAGTGTTGGTGTTATCTTGGGTGTTGTACTTTTCGAGCTTGAGCTCCTCTACAGGGAACGGTTCCTCTTTCGCTTTCTTTCCTTTCTCCCCAGGACTATATGAAAATTCTTTCCAACAGAGAGTCGAGCTTACATTTGGTTCATACAAAGGGTTCATCTCCCTGTCTGGATTATGTCTCCCTTTCTCCTTCTTATACCTGATGAATTTTTCCAGTTTCCGCTTTCTTTTTTTTTTCTTTTCCATTATTTTGGAGGTAGAAAATTTCAGTTGTTCCCTCTGCATATATTTCTTGCCCGCATGTATGAACTTCTTCTTCGATCTTATATTTTCGCAAATTTTGTTCGCCTTCACCAGTGCTCGGTGCTTAATGCGTCTGATAGGATAAACGTAGTTAAGTCTCAGAGTGAATATATCCTCAGTGGACACGAAATTCAGGACGGTTTTATACTTGGTGTAGAAATACAAGAAGAAGAGCAAATTGTTACTTACAAACGCTAAGAAGTAGTAATTCTTGTCATGCAATTCTTTCAGCGAGTTGTGTGCCTTCGTTTGGTATTCGAATTTGTTCATAATTAGGTATTTATAATTTATTTTATTTTTGTGGCAAATCATTTTTTCCATCAACATATTAATGTTGCTAACGTCCGAACCATGTTCGCTTCCGTCGGTAGATTTTTTCGCATAACACGCTCGCGTAAAGTCGTTATGCTCTGTTTGTTCGCTTTTGTCTTGTTGTCTCTCGTGTGTTATGTTCGCCTTTCCACTTCGCTTCGCTTTTTCCTCGCGGTCCAGGTTATTCAGACTGTTGTCATCGCTTTGGTTTGGGTTGTCATAACTGTGGGACTGGTCAAAGAGGGATCTCTCCAAATCCACCATGTTGCAAGCACTTGTGAACGACGCATTATTGTTGTTTCTGTTGTTGCTGTTGTTACGTGAAGAGATAGTCATGATGCTGCCATTCTGTGGAGTTCCACTTTTACAAGTGGCGATGTAGTTTTTCAGCAGGTTGTTATATAGGAGGAGTCCCTTCTGAAAATTGTCTACATTCATGCACGAAGTCAGGAGAGAAACGTTAGAAAAGGATACCTCTGGGTAGAGAGAATATACATAGAGGAATGAAAAGGTGCTGATGGACAGTTCGGTGAAGTAGTTCACTAAATCCATGGTTGTCCGGTTGTGCAAAGTAAGTCTTGTATTTTTGACGTCCAAAACAACGTCGATATTTTTTACGCCCTCATTTGCTATAACATAGACCTGATTATTATATATTTCGTGTTTCACTTTCTGTAACACAATTTTCCTCCTTAAGTTTCCTTTGAGTAAATCTCTATTGAGGTGTAAGTGACTAAACGTGCGGATTATTTTGTTGCACAGCTGGAGGTACCTCCTCTCTGCACTACTGCCAAGGAATAACCTAAACTGAGAAATGTTGCTGCATATTTTTATTTGGTTATAGTCGTATATGATAAACTTGTTCAAATATAAGGAAAATTTAAAGCCCTTCCTAAACTGGGGTAAATAGAAAATCATATTTTCTAAACTAACGGACCACTTATTATTTTCAACGATGTTGTTTAGGATTAGTTTTTTCTTCTTCTGCTTGGACTTCATATTGTTATATATCTTCTTAATGTAGTTATAGAATTTGTTTTTCACTTTTTTTTTCTTCATTCTTCGCTCATTTTCCGCATGGTCATCTAAGTCGTTTGCAGTGCGGCTCCAAAAATTGTGGAAACTGACGGTTCTTCCATTCTCATCATTAAACTGGTGCACCTGCTGTCTTATCGAGGTGGAATGCTTTGTGTATATACTGTCAGAAAAGCTGTTGCTCTCTCTCCAGTGTCTTCTTCTCATCTGCAAAGCGGCCTCTTTTAGATTTCTCCTCTTCGATAGACGAAAGTGTTCAGAGGTCGATCTGTGCCGCCTTGTGCCTTTTTGCAGTTCCTTACGCATTTGTGGAACTGTCTTTTCGACGTTTGAGTCATACGACAGCAGGGAGTTAATCGACGTGGACTGGGCAGAGCTCACCGGAGAAGTCGCCGCGGATGTGGGTTCGGAGGACGACCTACACAAGGCAGTTGGTGGAGTGGGTATAAATGAACCCCACCCTTCTGACGGATCATTACTTGCGAACCACTCGAAGTTATGCAGCTTACTGTTGCTACTTATTATATCATCGTAGATAACACTTTTGGTGCTTTCAATCAAGCTGTCCTTGTTGAGGGAGCTGTACGTATTTAGTCTGTCCTTATAGCTCCTTGAGATCTTTTGGTAGAAATTAAGGTGGCTATTCTTCTCAGGTTTGCATCTCCTCCCTTTCTCTTTTCTATGTTTCTTTTTTTTCTTCCCCTTTGTGGTATCTTCCGTTTCGTCCAGACCCATTTCATCCAGGATATTCATTATGTCGTCTTTCCCATCCTTCGCTATGTTTCTCACTTTTTTTAGCTTAAGGCTTGAGAATTTCATTCTGTAATTGTACACAATGACACTCAACACGTCATTCACATTTTCTTGCTTGATAAAATTGTTCAATATGACTGTGGAATACAGCCGTATAGAAATCCTCTTCACTTTATTGGCATTAATAGAAACGATGTAGAAAGAGTTGTCATTATAATAATTTGTAAGTCTATTGAAGATGAGATTATTAATAGTGCTGGAAAAATGTTTGTTTTCCATCGACTCAAGGTTTGAAAACTCGTTGGAATGATTCCCCTTTTTTCTCCTAATTCGGTCGTACTCTTCCTTCGACATGTACACATACTGGTTATTGTAAAAGGGGTGCACATGGTCTACTAGCAAATATTTACTCTCGTATATATAGGAGCAGTCAAGAACATTAATGTCTACGTTTTTTATGTCGACATTAATTATGACCTTATTATTTTTTAGTTTTTCATTAATTTTGTTCGTAAGGTTGTTGAGGGAATTCATCAGGCGGAACAGCTTTAGTGTCTTGGGTGGGCTGAAGGAGAACAGCTCTTCGCGTATGGTCTGCTCTTGGTGTGTTTTCCCCTCCTCCGCATCTTTCTTCGAGTGCTCCTCATGGTAGATGCTACCACATAGGGTGGGGCCTCGATCTTGGACATTCTTCTCCATATGCTGTCTCTCCAGACGAACCTTCTTTACCCTTTCCGGTATCTCCTCATCCTCCGACGAACTGGCCGTGAATTCCGTTCTTCCATTCTCCAAATGGTCACTCCACCCAACTGTCTGCCTGTAGTACTGTTTCATTTCTTTATACTTATGAATGAAATAATCCTTCGTTTCTTTGATATCGTATGCAATTAAATTTTTGTTCAAATTGTTGACCAGGTAAAAGTTGCACGTCGAAATGAAGTATGGATCAAGGTTAATGCTAGAAGCATACATGTGAATGTAAAAATTGAAGCATTTTTTGGTCTTCTTACTTTTGCACCCCCCATGTCTGTTCACGTTCCTTTTTGAAAATCCATTTCTATTGTGCCCCTCTTGATCGTAACATTCTACTTCCTTCAGAGAGAAATAAAGATGGTTTTCCTTCCAAGAGCTGTATTTTAAGAAGTCTTTCTTATATATTAAGTAATTATTCAAGCTGTTAAAATGGTTCTCGATAGGAAGGGTGCACTTCTCTTTTAGGGCTGTTATCTTTTCGTCATTTTGGAGCAAATCACTCGTGCCGTCATGATAAAATGCTTTTCCTTCTTCCGCTCTGCATGCGTCTGTTATGTCATTCAACGGATGGGTAAAATTGGCAATTCCTCTGCTCTGTCTTTTTTCTTTTAATTCTTCCCAATAATTGAAACTCTGGTACTCCTTCAGGTTGCAGGCTTTATTATTCCCCCCAAACATGTGTGCTTTCTTTTCCCTTTCCCCTTTTGCTCTGTTAACATGATTATCAGTACTGCGTGGTTTGGCCTTTTTCGAGCATTGTTTCGTGTCGCTCTTGTTCCTCTCTTTCGAACCATTTTTATTTACTTCTAGACGTTCTTTGTCCATTTCATGCACCCCTGAAGCTCTCTCCTTCAGGGTGTTCCCATCTAACTGTTTATTCCTCATCTCGTTTCTTCTTCTCTCATAAGGATCCTCCCCACCGTCGACATGTGATCCCCCTCCCTTCCTGCACAACCTGGGTAGATACTGCACACTTTCGTAGTACCTGGTGAGTAGCAATAACTTGTAAACATTTCTGTAAGACGCTGAAATGTGCTTGTAAAATATGGGCACATAGCAACACACAATATTGCCATCGGCGAAGTCGAGTCTCCCTTTCCCATTCAGGCACATAAATCTGGAAACGCTCGAGTGAATCTTGTTGATATTGTACAAATGCTGAACATTAAATTTGTTGAACCATTCCAAACTATATACTTGGTTAATGTATTCTAAAAATGTTAAGTCTCTCTCAAGAATATAGTTGCTCTTTGTTAGCTTGTCATAATTGGTGGTCTTAACATTGGCATACATGTCGAAGCTGTTTTGTACAAAGGACGGATTAAAAAACTCGTTTTCTTTCCTATTCGCTTGAAAAGAATGTATACCGTTAGCATGCTTATAATTATACACCAGGGGTTCTAAGTACTTTTGCTTGCTTCGTTTAAATCGTCTTAAATAGATGCAGCTGAATAGGTTTATGTTATACACAGATAGGTTGCACCTGGAGAGTTTCCACATGGCTGTTTTTTTTGTATATTCTTCTAATTGTGGGGATTTTTTTTTCTTTTTTTTTTTTTTTTTTCGGCCTCCTTTGTTGAATTCGTCTCGCTCATTATTTATGGGGACACTCTCAAGGGAGTCCCTACATTTGGACAGGCTACCTGTCATTTTATTCCTTCGGTTTGTGGAATTTCCCATGAATCGTTCATCCCCAACGTGGTAGAAACTGCCTTGTTTGGAAATGCTCACAAAGTTGTCACTACTGTGGTGGGCAAATTTTAGGAAGTCCTCCTTCTGATCCTTCCCGTCTTTTCCTTCCTCCTCAGAGATGCATTCACTCTTTTGTGCTTTCACGCTACCCAAGTCGTAGGATGCGTCGTTGTTATCACCTTCTGTGCGCACAATTTCCAACGTGTTGCTTTTCCATCGGTCGGCCTTCTTGTGGAGAAATCCGGGGGACTTGAAGCTGAACAGGCTCAGCGATCTCCTGCTAAGGTTGTCCTTCTTCAGTATGGGCTTCGGAGTGCTCTTATTTTTTCCCATAATGTTAACAGCCGAATTTAGGTAGTTGAGGAGGTTCTGTCTGTGCGACACGCCGTTAGTGATGGTAGCACTCTTGGCATCACTGCCCTGGAAAGTGGTAATTGGTTCACCTTCCCCAATTTCCGTAATTTTTCTACCCATCGGTTGTGCCTGGTCAGGTTTCTTATAATTAAACAGAAATCTCATGTAGGATTTCTGTTTGCTGACTCTCCTTTCACTAGATATGGATTCTGCTTGATTCATCTCACCACTGCGGTTCAAAGGCTTATTCCTCTCGTCGTCATGCTTCTCCCCATTATCATGGTTGCTGCACTCGCTGGTCCTTTCGGGCGATGGATCTTTCCCACTTCTTATAACCCCCTTTTTCAACGTTAGATCGTAGAACAAATCAGAGTTGTTAGCATGGTTCCTACTCCTACTGTGGGACACCCGTTTGTTTATGGACAGGCTGCTGTTGATATGCTTTGCTATTATGCAGCTGTCCGTGAGGGACTTTTCCCCGTTAGAGTTAGTGCACTCGGGTTTGTCACTCAGCCTTTCATAATATTTCTTGGCCAAATTCTCGCAGCGGCTGTGTGACCTTCGATCTAAGCTTCTATGTGTGTTTCCACCCTCCTTCCACTTCCCTCCAGCACGAGTTTCTTGCTGGCCGAAATAGGCTCGTTCTTCGGGTAAATAATTCAACATTGCCTTGTCGTACATTTCTAGGGCAATTTTTTTCTGTAAATGATTTTTTCTTTTTTTCTTTTTTTTTTCTTCCTCCCCACGTTTGCACAAAAACTGAGCACTCACTTTGACATCCACGATTGTTAAATGCGAAATGACGTAGTTGCAATTCTTCATCAGGATAATATAAAGAAAGGGAAAGAAGGCACTGATGGACTTCTTATTTTGTGTGCATCTATATTCCCATTTAAGTAGAAAATTTAAATTCAAATTGTACAGATCCTTGTTCATAATTCCAATATGGTCAAAATCTTCTCCTTCCGTCTTCTCCTCTTTACAGTAGTTGGAGCAGCTATCAATAAAGTTGATGTAGTCATTCATGTAGGCGTCCACCTTGTGGTTCTTCTTGTAAAGATACTTAAATCGGTGGTAGTTAATAAGATAGCATATGTTGACATTTTCGGAACAGATGAACAGGTTAATTTCTTGAATATTTTGAGACTTTTCTCCTTCTCCATCGCGTGTGTTCTTTCTAGAGGACGGAGCTTCCCCCTGGTGCTGTGCAACTGCGTGACACACTTTTTTGTTCTTCCTCAGGATATTTTCTGTAACGTTCTGTCCTTCTCTAGTGCTGAGTGTTGGTTTGGAATTGTGGTTAGCGAATATATTCTTCGATAATGTATTGACTCTATCTATATTAGTGTCCACTTTGACAATTTTTTGGCTCTCTTCCTCCTTCCGACTGTCACCACCTACCTCCAGATGTTCGTACTTCGAATTGATTACACTCCGAAGAGTGTCACAATTATTCGCTAACTCGTCATGATAGACACTGTTGGAAGCTCGATCGTTTGCCAAACCCTGAGACTGTGCAGCCAATCTGTTATCTTCCTTTATTAACCCTCCTTCGTGATTCCCTTTGCTTTGATGACATTCTGGGGAATCTTCCTTTCCAAAGGAGAAGGCTGCACAAATGACATCTCGCTTCGTTTCTGATTTTAAAAAACTGAAATTTTTCTTTCTCCACTTTTGAGAGTTAACATTATCGTGGGGGTTAACATTATCTTTCGGGTTAACATTATCGAGGGAGTTAACATTTGGAGCGAGCCCGTGAAGGTTGGCATTCGTGTCGTGGAACCTCCTTTTCGATGCGAATCCTTCACCTGTGTCGTGCACAGTACTTTTTCTTTTCGTCTTCCCGGAATTGGTCCCCTTATCGCGGTAGTACAAACCATTGTACAGACCCTTGCTCACAGAATTGATCGCAGCATGACTCCCATTTTCGCTTACGTCTCCCCTTGTGGCATCACAAAGGGCGTTGCCTTCACATTGTTCACTCTGATGAAGCGCGCTTCTTTGGATGTTCTTCTCCGTCCCATTTTCATTCTCGGAAAAATCGTAATAAAAAGTGTTATTAGTTAAATTGATGGTATCCTCATTTACCTCATCCATGTGCTTCCCCTTCTGATCGAAGATCTTATAGCTAATGTCATTGTCTGCATACGTTTCGTCGATGAAACTGTCGTTGCTGGATGTGCGCAGCGTGTTCACCACTTCGTGGCTGCTTAGCCATTTCCCGAGGGATATAACAACCATTCCGTCGCTCCTTTTTTTCCTCTTCAAAGAACCATGCTTCACATGGTTTGACTGGCCCCTTCTATTCCGCAAGATGACTCCGTACCTGCAGAGCAGAATGCTCATTTTTTCCTTCTCTTGGATGTACGTTAAAAAGTAATTTATCACGACACTGTTTAGTAAGACGAATAAGGTGGAGCTGTAAAAAAGGTTGAAATTGCTGATCGACAGTTTCACAGTCTTTCTGTTCGTCTCTTTGTTTATGTGTACGTCTAAATGCAGCTGCGGCTTGGGACACTTCACCTTCTTGTCGTAGTCGATAAAGAGTTTAAACTTTTTTCTTTCCAAAATGCATACATACTGATTAAAGAGGTCGTTTTTTTTTTTTTTGAGACTTGACTTGGAAACACTCAACAGGTTACTTATCGAGTCGGTTAAGATGACATATTTTTTACACGTGTTGTTTCGCATGTCAGGAATTTTATTCTCATCTAATATGTTGGCCGCTTTTTCGCTGATCTTCTTGAGAGGCCTACCCACTTTGGGCTTCCTCGAAACGCTGAGGACGTAGAAAAAGTACAGCGTGTTCATTTTCAAAGATATATTTAGACAGCTAGCCATATGAGTCAACTCGCTCATAAAGTCATTGCAGACAATTTTGAATATACCTTCATTTTTGTTACTAACGGCAACGTTTGTTTTGCTTATTAGGAAGAAGAAAAGGGATGTCTTCTTCTGGGGGGTGTCTTTCTCCTCCACTTCTCTCCCATTCAGGTAGTCCACTTGTGATAGTTGTAAATTGGATATACTACTGTCAATGAAAATTTCATCGCCCATTATTTTTTCTGTATCAATTAGGATCTCATCAAAATTAAACAGGTTTCTCAGATTCATATATTTGCAATTTTCGTTGTTGTACCTCTTGCATGGCTTCATCAAATCAATGTCTTTGTATTGTTCCTTGTCATCTTGCATGAAAAATTTCTCCTCGTTGTTGTTTCCCCCATTGGGCTGGTCCTTCCCTTTCCTTATACCCTGATCACTTGCTTCAGAATCTTTAGAGTAGGAATTACGTCCTGTGTCCAAGTCGAAGTAGTTAGAATTGTTGTACAAATCGGACTTCTCGTCATATTGAGGGTTGCTCAGGAGGGTGTCCTCCTTACAGGTGTGATACTCTCGTTCCAACGATTTCGAAGTGCCAGCCAGGTTATCATGTCTCCCCCTCCGCATGGTATAGTAATTTTCCACAATGTCGTTATTGCTGCTGAAGGAGTGCAGCATGTCCGAGTTGTGACTAATGAGCATCCTACTGCTATCGTGTGTCTTCACGTCTGGGAGTTCCCCTTTTTTGCCTCCCACGTAGGAGTCCCCCTTACCCTGTTGTGTGACTCTCTTCCTCAAAATCATGTAAAATATTTTCTCAAAGTGTTCTTTATTGTACAGAATTCTTTCATTGTCCAAAATTTTTATGACCAATTTCTTTATATACTTCTCGTAATTCTTATTAAACTTAACCTCGTCTTCTTTCTTCTCCGGAGTGTTACCACTGCTTGGGTGCTTTTCCCTGACCATGTGGTTTATCTTGAAATACCTGCTTAACATTTTGTAGAGCAACTCATTCGTCACGTTAATCATCTTCAAGTGCATAGTATTTTTATTGCTATGGAGGAGGTACTGCCTGATATTCCTTACTTTGCTGATTCTCCCCTTTATTAACTCGAGGTGCTCTAAAGGGAATACATGCTTGTGTATTCCTATGAGAGACACGCATATTTCGTTCAGGTTGCAGTTTAGAAGATTTACTGTGAGTGACAGCACGTTGCCATTTTTTTTCAGCTTCACCGACTTTATGCTAACGAGGGCTGTTTTGTTCTTCTTATTTGTGGCCATCCTGGGCGAGTTCCTCACGGGGTGGTCACTCCTGTTGATGATACTGTAACTAGTAATACTTCCAATTGCGCCATTTCGTACCATATCCGGGGATGTGCAATTTTCCATTGATGGGATTACTACCTGGCCTACGTCGTCTTCCCTCAAATGCATTTCGCCCCACAACCCCTCCGCAGCAGCCCTTCGATCACACGTATGATCTGTACTCTTCACAGTGTCAAAGCAAGTGTGAAAAATGTGGTGCACATCCATCCCCTTTGCGCTGAGATAAAGTAACGAATCAACCTTGTGGTGGAACAAGAACAGATTTCTGACGTGACCGAAAACTCCAATCGATAACAAATTTCGATTCTTTGCCTTGTGCCTATTGTTATTATACTGGATGTATCTCCTTAAAAAACTATAATATCTGCTTCTAATCGAGTAAAGAAAATTTCTCTTCCTCAGATAGGAAAAGGTGTTGTTCACTTTTGTATGATAAAGATTCGTTTGCGAAACAAAGAGGTTGTTAAAAATGATGTTATGTATGTTGGTTATGTCCCTTTCTTGCGTTCTTACAAAATGATCTAGACTTCTGCTTCTGTGGAGGTTACTCCTCCTACCTCTATGCATTTGGTCCCCGTCGTGCTCCTCCTCCGATTGTTCGAAAGTGCTGGAGGTCGTCCCACTAGTACTATCGTTGTTGTCCTCCCCCCGGTGGTTAATATTATTCGTAACCCCCCCATTTGGGTGGTTGTTCACCATGTAGTCACTCCTCTCTGTGGTCATCTCATCCTTATGCAATTTTCTGCCTGTCATTTTCATTTCAGCTTGGTTCTCATCCGCTAAAGATTTAAACGGATCGAGAAGAAGATCATGTTCGATGAACTTTTCTTGACAGTCTGTGTTTCCCCGTGTGTTCCTCTTTCTCCTGGTCTTATTGAGGAAGCTTGTCAAATTAACCACTTCGTTTTGGACGTACGAGGAGTGAAAAAAATAAAACTTCAAGTCATCCATGCGAAGACGCAGAATCTTCTTCTTCTTTACGCTTCTACTTATACATAGGCAAATACATTCGATAACATCCTTGTCGATGAAATTATCATATTTCAGGAAGAGCTCAAGACAGGTGTTGTTCGTGGGGATGAAGTTCAGAAGCGGAAATAAATTATTAACATTAATTACGTACTTGCAAACGGTTATCTCAATTTCCCTTACATGGTTGGAGTACTCATTAATATGAATGATTAGACAGTTTGGGATTAGGACAACCTGGTTATTAATTATTCGATCGAAATTGTTGTCGTCAATAGGTTTGGCATTATGCTTGTTCATGTTGTCTAGGGTTTCTTTTTTCTGCTTACCTAGAATGAACTTCCAGAATGCATTTCGATTATTTCTCATATTAGCAACGCTGCTACGGCCGTAGTTGTTGCCACTGTTCCCTTTGCCTTCTTCATACTCATTTTTGATATGTTCATTTTCAAGACTTCCCATATTTTCGACTTGGATTTTTTCTCCTTCTTTTTCCCCTTGGAGATGGCTTTCACCAAAATATCTTCTCTCAAAGAGGTTCCACATATTGTAGTTTTTAAAGGTGTTCATGCAATCCTTCCCATCTTGGTCGCTCTCTGTATTGCTAGAGCTGTACAGATTTCCATTCGCGCTTTCGCGTTGCGTTTTAAGATAATTTTCATGACCATTTGGATCTGCTCGCTCTAGGCTGTTTCGCTTGGCGCTATTACTCGGTTTTACTCCTTCCTTGGTGACAAAACCACTCTCATTCGGTAGCTGCCCACTTTCGTTATTCCCCTGATTGGGTGCTTCATTTTCTGTGTAACACTCCGCGCTGTCCAGGAGTATCCCCTTTTGTGTTCGTCTCTGTCCCATTAGACTATTTATCATAGGGCCGACATTCTTCTCTGCTCTTCCTTCCTCCTTGGAATGTATCCTGTCGATAAAGTCATCACAGTCATCTTCTACATTCCGGTGACCCCAATGGTAAAAGCTTACACTATTGTCATTCGGCTCATGATACAAGCATGAGTTTCTCATGGGTAATTTCTCTACATAGTGAATACAGTACTCTTTTTTATTCATGACAAATTTGGTATTTTTCTTAAAAAGAACAAAAAGGGAGTGTATATCGACGTTGTGAAGATAAATGCCCATCTTCTTCTTTATTGGGGATAATTTCTCCTGCTTAAATAGGAAGGAACACGCTAGTGTGTAGGATAGGAGGCACTTATTATACTTTACACTGCAATTACTGAAGTGACTAAATTTGATGGGGATGTAGGTGAAATTAATTTTTGGAATCACCAAATTGAATAGCATATCGTGGGAAAACCATTTGTCTAACTTCTCCAAATTTTCATTGATAATGGAGGTGGTTGTCCCTTTCTGATTTTTAATAAAATTGTAGAGCAACTTTTTCCACTCTCTTCTCTTCAAATGAGCCTTGTTAAAATATCCCTTGCTGTATATACACTCATCGGAGAGTATCCTCAACTTGGTTAGCAAGTGAATAGGGCATGAAGCTTCAAACCTTTCCAAAAAACCCTCAGTCCCCTCGTCATAAACGTAATTTTTCTCATTTCGCAATTTTCTCAATTCGGAGTATCTTATACAATTTTCTATACTCGGAATGATATTAAAAATTTTGCAGCATCCCCCTTTGTATAGGAACCAAAATTCTATGTACTTGATGAAATTGAAAAGAGAGTCCAATGCCGGGGCGGTAAAAAAGACATTCAACGTTTCAAACGCAGAAATGTCACTAAAGAGAGGGGGGTAGTCATTCTTGAAGCTTCGTTCCATTATTTCATCGCAGTTTTTCAATTCGGAATTACAAAGATCGTTATTCGGTTCGTTTCCGTTTGGATCATTTGAAATAAAGAATGAATTATTGTTCGGGTGTGCTAGGTTACTACTGCCATGGTTATAACAATACCACGTCTTCTTCACATGTTCCTCTTCTGCCTCTATTTTTACATTATGGCAACAATCATCTTCCACGTTGTCTTGGATGTGCTTAACAAAGGAAAGTTCCACATTCTTGAAACACTTTAAATCATTTTTCAGTTCGCTCAGTGCCTTCATGTCATACTTCTTAAAAACGACGTGCATGTCTAATCCATCTTTCGCTGTTATTCTGAACCCTAAGTCATGCTTGGGAATTTCAAAGTTGTAATTACTTTTTCCTTTTTTTTTATTTTTTTGCTTACTCGTTGATTCGTTTGAGGAGAGTTTTTTACCAAATCGTCCCGTGCGCATTTGTCTCCGCACCCTTCTTTTTAAGTTCCCATCCTTTATCCTCTCATTGACGTCGTAGTCACTGAATGAACGAAATGCTTTTTCCAGTCCATGATTATTTAAGGAGCTCCTTCTTTTCGCCCTCCTCCAGCTGTGCCTCTTGCCTCGGTGAACGGAGCTCGCGCTCTCGCTGAACAGGCTTTCGATGGCCGTCAGGAAGTATTCGTCTGCAAGGTGGAGTCACGGAGGTGATCAGCGTGAGCATTTGTATTTGAAAGCGGATTGTCTCCACAGAGGGAACAACTTTCCTTCATTTGACACCGCTACGTTGTTCACTCTTTGGTGTCATTTTTTATTTTATTTTTTATTATTATTTTTTTTTCTTGACCCCTATCGGGCGGCACTTACCCATTGCGTCGTCTTCTCCCCCCTTCGACTTCGCCGCAGCCGGGTCAACCTTCTCACTGTTATGAAGCAGATCAGCCTTCTTTTTCTTCAGCTGCTTCTTGTACTTTATCTTCTTTTTGTATTCCTTGTAAATAATATGAAGTCCTATCATCCTTATCCATATGTTAATTAGGAAGTTCTTCTTGATATTTCTTTTTTCTTCCTCTGTCAGCTTAACGTTGTACTTGTTCAGTTCGTCTATCTTGAAATTCTTTATCAGAAATTCAAAGGTGAAAGGATTTTTATGAATATAATTATCGAAAAATACGATTTTGATATTCTCCACTAAAATTCTTAGCGAGTTGACTAGTTTGACTGGCAGTGCTTTTAAAAAATTGTCTTCTTTTTTTTCCTTGGATATGTTAATGCTGTCCCATTTTTCCAATTTTGTTCTTTTCAACTTATACTGGTGATTCATAATTTTGTTCGTGTCCCACAAACTGGGGTAGGAGAACTTTATAACCAGGAACAGGTCATTGGCGTAAATATTTATGGGGCTAACATTATTTGAAAAAATGGATGACCACAGAAATTTTATACGCAGATTTTTTATGTTTGAGTAAACTATTTCGAAGGGTAGCTCCGCCAGTTCGAATAGTTTTTCTGGGAATGGGACGTTCTTCAGTAGGATCTGCAGAGGTGTGTGTGTATGTATGTGTGTTTTTTTGTGGATGCGTGCTTGTATGGTGAGAGGATGGGAAATTTACGATAGCTCACAGGTGTGACTAACAGCTCATTCGTGTGTGTATGTGACGACTTCGAGCAATGCTGCCCCATCAAATGAGTGCCTACTTCCGGGGAGGTCACAGAATTGATCGTCAAATTTTGTATGGCGTCCCATTCTCCCAAGTACTCTTGTCCAAACAGTTTGATAAATTGATTTATTATATTTTTTATCATATTCATTGTAACGACATTAGCGTTAAGGGATCATCTGGCAGGGAGCACATACAGAAAAAAAAAGAAGCAAACAGGCAAACAATCAAACAGGCATAGGAGCAGCAAACAAAAAAATAAACAAACAAACGGTGGACCTGCGAAGATGCCCCTCCAAGTTAGCGCATCACAAATGTGCGCAGAAATAAGGTGCAATGACGAAAAAACAAAAAAGTAATCCTAGCACAATTTGGAGTTCTATATTAAGAGATCGTCTCTCCTGTCCAAAGTACCTACATATAGATGTATACATAATACGTGCGCGCTTCTGCGTATGAACGATAACCGCTGAAAACCGAAGAAATGGTTAAGCAGTGTGAGCAACGGAAGAGTGGCATTCACCTACATGGAGGCATTACCAGACGTGAACAACATGACGCGCAATTCTACTTGTTTCGATATTGCCCCTCACACATAATTTATTCTAAAAAAAATAGGCAAGAAAAAAAAATAAATAAAATAACAATCTATTATCACTCACCACTTGGGCGAAGAAATGTACCAAATTGTGTAGAACGTGAAGCCAACACAAACCTGCTAAAATGGGAGAGGCGTTTGATTGTATAAACATTTGCACCCTCTTTCATGTTTTTCGGCTTCCTTTTTATGTTTACTTTTTCCTGAATGTTCATGGCTTCTACGGGTCATTCACATCGCTTCAAAATGCATTTCACAAATATAGAGTGGCATAGTGAATTCGTAACATGTTCTTCAAAAAGAATAATTTAAGTCATGAATGTGAGAAAAAGGGTGCATATGTAATGCTTTGATATTACAAAATTATAGAACAAAGAAAAAAAAATAAAAAAAAAACTCACATAAAAAAAGTATACCTCACAGTATTGTATATACAAATGCATATGATGTTACTGCATACAGTTGGGAATTTTGTGCCAAGCTGATGAAGGGGCACACATGCGTGCACTGATATATATGCATTCACAAGTACACATTATGCATCAACACCACAAACAGTGTCTTGAAAACAAGTTCGGCAAAAGCGGAAAGATTAAGACGCGTATGCAGGGGTGGCAAAAACGAAGATTTAAAAAAAAATACATACATATATATCTATACACATATAAGTGTATATGCGACCAAGTTAAAACAAATGGCGCAAAACGAAGAGTACAGTGAAACACTACGTATGGGCGGCAAAACTGTGCATACTTCTTGCGACAAAGTGGCACACAGGGGGAAAAGAGGACTCGAATGTTCGCATTTGTAAATATTACTAAATGGTAATAAGAATAACTACGCAGTGCGAAGCGTTACTAAGCATGGCGAAGCACTGATAAGCATTACTGCATGTCAAAATGGACAAACTGCCTCGAAGAATAAAGAAGAAAATATTCACGAACACGTAGCATGTAAAAATAATTCCCCAGGAATAATATTCTTCTTAGCACATGGTTAAGAGCGTATCGCAGAAGAAGCATTTTTCATTTCCATTCATTCAATTAATTTCCATTTTTTGTACACATGCGAGAACTAATTTTTTTTTTTATGTGCACCCTACTGTAAAATTCTTATACTTGACAGAAGCGATCTTTTAAAAGAAATCATCCAAGGGCAGGCAAAACGAAAATTCCAGTAGGATTTTTAAAATACCAGTTTTGTAGTTTTTCCCTTTTTTGCGAAAACATGCAGTAAGGCCAATTTTTCCATTCAAAAATGAGAACATACGTGCGTACACTCATTTGCATGCCTTCGCAGAAAGTAAAGTGACGCCAGTATAAAACATAGGAAACGTATTACGAAACCGCAGAGAGGGAAAACATATGCCCCCACTGTATATTCATTTATGGTCAATGTGTCTTATTCGTTTTTTCAACTTTCACCGCTTTTCCGGCACACCTTTGAGCAATTTTATGTAAGCATTGGTCACCCATTATGTTATTTGCTTTTTCTGAGGTACGTCAAAATGAAGGCGAGTTTTTATATATACGCCATTGTCTATAAAGAGGAAAATTCTCGTGTTTCAATTTGTTTGCCCTTTTTTTTGCCACATTTTGTGGTTCGAAAAGGCAAATGTCGTAATGCCCACCGCTTGTCCGCTGCTTGTCCACTGTTGTGCCATTTTTTTAAAGTGGAAATGAAAACGAATAGCGAAAAAAATATCCCAACATCCTTTGACGGTGTGCCAATTCGTGTGGTGCTTCTGAACAGCCACCTTTTTACTTGTTCACTCTTGGAAGCAAAATGGGATCATTTAAAGGAAAAATACCTAAATAATGGACTACATAGCCCGTCAAATAATTCCCTAAATACTGGGCTACATAACCTGTCAAATAATCCGCTAAATAGCCCGCTAACCTGATTAAATCACAACTGCTACATCTTTTGTAGCCAATTCCCGGAAATTGTAACAAAAGGGGGAAAAAAAAGAATGGCAATGAACGCGGGAAAAAATATAGCGTATGAAGAATGCTAATTATGCAAACCCACTGAACATAAACGAATAAAACATGTAAAACGATTTCATTTAAAAACCACAAAATGAACCATTTTAACATTTTGCAAGGAGCAGAATTGTAGCTGCATTTTTTTTAATAAGTCCCTCGCACAACACCTAATCAAAGTATATAACAATAAACGAATATTTCCCATAACCATAAATTTTGACATCTCCTTGGAAACTTTTTTTCCCCGTTCCAGCTTTTTTTGGTAAAATTTTCTCCAATTTTGTATGTATAAAATTGTACCCGAGAAATTGCGAATGGACGACTTTAACAAAGGAACGCATCATTGTCGCTCCATAAAAGGCTATGTAAAATTGGTAACATCCTAACTACGCCCGTTTGTATGTCGCTTTATCCTGTCGCTCCGGTAAAGAAATTATGTTAAAGAATCACTAGCGTTCTACCGTTCTACCACTGTTATGGTGCAAGGGCGTCACGTACATATTGAAGAAGAAACATATGAATTCACGTAAAGTAGAATGTCAATACATACGTACGAACGCATGGATAGACGAACATACAAGGAGTTACTATTCCCTCAAGAGCGCTTACTGATTCTCTTGTCATTATACATGTTGACCCGCTTTTCGGTTGCAACAAAACCTTTTAAAAAATTACCTCAAAATTGAAAAAAGCAAACATATTTCCTAAATGCATGTACTTAAAATAGCTTAGAGGAGATGGTTAGGCCCGAGTATTCTTCCCCCCCTGAGATTGTAATTATCAAAATAAGTGGAACAAAAGGCAGAACGATTGCGCCTCACGATAGATGGAATTGTAGATCTAGGAATCTACATTATGTGTGTCTCTATACGTACATGCATATACCGTAGTATACTCGCCACTTACACCAGTTTACATATGCACTTCCCCCCCAAAAAAAAAACCCTTTACAGTTTTACAACGAAGATGAAGCCAAAAAATACGTCCGCAATTCCCGAATCAGGGACATACAGTCCCAAATGACTGAGCGAGCTTTGGAATTGCTGGTCCTCCCAGAAGTAAGTCAAAATGTGGGATCACTCAATTTGGCATGTTATCGATTTCGAATGATCCGCGTGAGGATTTTTTCCAGGCGTTCTTCCCTTTTTACGTTAACCATTTCGCTGTTTTTTTTTTTGTTTTCCCCTTATAGAGCCCCTGTTTGCTGCTAGACATTGGATGCGGATCAGGCATAAGCGGAATGACCCTGAATGAATCCGATCACTTTTGGATAGGAATTGACATTAGCATTCATATGATAAGTACTCGCAACTTTTGCTTCCGCGTCATTTTGATGTATGTCCCAAGTTATGTGTCCATACTTTTCCACATCAGCATATATAAACAACGTGTAACATTTTCCTTCTTTGTCTTTCCAGAAGCGGGATTGCAGAATGAAGCCCACCACGGAGGGGACATGATTTTAGCCGACATGGGAAAACGTAACCTTCGCGATGTGTCCACATGAAAAAGAAAAAGAAAATGGCACATTGGGATTATTGCATGAATGAGATGAGCACACTACTGCATATTCGATTAAATGGCTTGTTGGCGCCTAACCGACACTTTCACGTTTCACCGCCTGCCAATTTCACCGCTTCCCCCCTTTACTATTTCTTCCCCGACCTTCTCAGTGATGAAGTTCCAGCCTTGCATTTTCGACGGAGTAGTCAGGTAGCAGAGCCTTTTTCTACTCCTGATCCGTTCAATGCTCCTTATTGTTCATAAAGCAGAACGTTTATATAGACAAATTTGTATTTTTTTTCCCCCCATTTCAGCATATCTGCCCTGCAGTGGCTATGCAACTGGGATAAAAAGGATGAAAATCCCAAAGTGAGAATTAGCACATTCTTTAAGTGGCTATATAACTGTATGAAACGAGGAGCCAGGGCGGTAAGCGTCAACTTGAAGTGCACGCGGCGCACAGATGTGAATTTGTTTAGGGTGCCAAGAAGCGTCTATTACGGAGTGCACCTAAGAGCACAATCCCCATTAGTGTTAAAGTCATGAATAGGCGTGCTTATCTGTGTGCTTGCTTATACCTATACGCACACCTGCGTGCATTCGTCACCCCCTGGTAATTACCCCCCTTTTGCAGGTATTTCAGTTTTACCCCGACTCGGCAGAACAAATAGAAACCCTCACGAGTTTCGCCATGAAAGCTGGCTTCGGTGGTGGTGTTGTCGTTGATTTTCCAAATTCAGCAAAGTCGAAAAAGTAACAGAATTAAACTTCCTTTGAGGGATAAAAATGCATATATTTACTTATGTTTATATTTTTTTACATTCCTTAATGCTTCCCAAATTTGTTTTGCTTTTCTCGCTTTAGATATTATCTGTGCTTGTGGACAGGGTCCGCCCTCGTTTCGCACCTTCCGGAGCCCTTGGAGGACGAGGAACATAATGATATTGCGACCACAAACAGGAGGTAAAAATGCCAAAAGGATGAGCTATTTGTGTGCACATATGAAATTGCACTGTGTATGCGAACGATGTGTTTTTATACGCCCCTCAGTTCAGTTTTTTTTTTTTTTTACCATCAATTATATCACCAAAATTGTGCAAGCATTAAGATAACCACTTCCACATACGCAACATTTTTCCCACCACAACGCAGACATAATAAGAAAACAAAAAAACAAATAAAAAAAAACAAGGAATGGATTTTGAAGAAAAAGAATCAGAGAAGAATGAAGGTAAGCGAACCGATAATATACTCTTCCCAATTTCCAATTAAGTAACCAATCTATTATATACCATTTTGCGCACCCTTTTTACACCGTCATGTGCATGTTTGTTGATTGGTTTTTTTTATTTTTTCCACACACCTTATTAGGGACTGGACGTGAAGAGGGACAGCAAATACACAGGGAGGAAAAGGAAAGGGAAGTTCTAAGCGGCCCCCCTGGATTTGTTTTTACGTTACGTGTACTATGTTTTGTGTAGCTCTTTTTTATTTTTTTTTTTACAACATTTGAATTTTTTATTTTTCATAAAAAATTGGCGCCATTTTGCCCTAAATTTGTGTGCAACTTATTTGCTGATACCGTTTTACACGCAATAAGTGTTAATAAAAAATTTATTGTTAAGGCTCCCTTATAAAAAAAAAATTGTAAAATAAGTACCCCCACAAAATAGGGAAAAAATAAGAAAAACTGAAATGTACCTTTCGGTAGGTTGAAAAGACGCTGTAAAGCGACAACGAAAATTCCACCAATTTGGATTAATTTTGACAAATACTTAAAAAAAATTAAAAAGGACAACGCGGTATGTACCATGTACGTTGGGGGAAAAAAAAAACCAATGGACACCGCTCTGATTCTCTTTCTTTCTTCCTATTACTTAAGCAGATTGAAATTCTTTACTATTTCTTCACTTCGATAGTTTTTATCAAATTCTTTTAACGTTTCGATCAGTTTTTCACAGTTCAGCTCCTTCTGCAGCATAGGGGGTTGGGGAAATAAAGGCGGACATATATGGATTATCTTATGCATACGTTTATCCTGTGCAGTGTGGGGGCGGAAATAATCCTTCTTTTGTGCACTTATGCGTTTAGTAAAGAAAAAGGGTCCATTGTATGTTCTATTTTCTGCATCATCATTATGTATGTGCGTGTGTATGTGCGTATGTATGGGTACCTTAAGTTCACCCCTGGTATCTTTATCCTTCTGCTTGTCATTACCATGGGGCGCTTCGCTGGCCAGTGGGACCGTCGACTGATCTATTACCTACAAGAAAAGGAACCACAAATGTATATTTTTTTTCAAGAAGGTGAACATTCTCTTTGGTAAGTAAGAGAAGTTCGCTTTTTCACGTCCGTTTGCAAAAAAAACTTTGCTTTTTCACGTCGGATTGCACGATTTTCCTTTCCATTACTTTGTCTATCGATTTATGCAAAATGAGTGAAATGAATCTGAGGCAGGACTTTTCCGTTACGCTACATCCGCTGTACGAAAGGTAGTAGTCAATCAATTCTTCGCTGAACTGGTATGGGTAAGAGCGACGGGCGGGGAAAATTGATTGGCACGGTCGGTACTATCGGTGCTCGTATATCGCATACGTATGTAGTACGCAAGCGTACTCCGGTAGATAAGATTTATTCATACACGTGTGAACCTGCTGAGCGCGAACATTTGGGAACTTCCCAATGGAGAGCATCAGCAAAATGGCACACTACTTTACCTTTGGTGTATTTTTCAGCAGTAGTTTCAACAACTCTTCATCCTTGTGGCTTACGAAGTTGTCATCCATCATGGCAGCCTCGCGTAGTCAGATATTTGAATAATGTGGTTTTTGTGCATGAACATGATAACACGAATATTAATAAGAGTGATAATTTATTTCCCCTTGTTCCTTTAACTGTTCCCCAGGGGGGAAAAAGGAAAAAATTAACGGGTGAATATTCGCAGGGGTTCGCCCTCTTCCTAACTAAGGCAGCCACATGGACGATCACAAATATGCAAACAGGTAATTTCGAGACCGTGAACGTATGCGATTATGCATTATGCGTGCCCGGAACATGGGTCAGGAACAAGCAAGCCTTCCGGAAAAAAAAAAAAAAATATATTTCAGCTAGAGTTAGCTTCGTAAATCCACGGCGCGGATGTTACGACTGAATGAAGAAACTATTAAGCGTATTTTTGCATGCGGTTTAAATTTCCCGCGTCAGCGGGTTTGGCCTATGCGTTTGAGTTTGCCTTTTCCCAGCGTTCCTCATAACAGCCACGCTGACTTCCCTTTCGTGCTACAATGGACAGGAACCTAGTCGTGAACAAGCGAGTATTACTTGGTGAGACTTATTGTTAATCACTTTCATTTTCTTCTTCCCTTTTATGGGTCATTTTTGGCGGTTTATGTGGGTCCACCTTTTAAGTGACTTTTTTTTTCTTTGTTAAATAGCAAACTTGCGAATTAACCGCTGTTTTTCTTTCCTTTTTGTTTTGGTAAGGAGGAATTACACATAAAGTGTAAAGAAATTATGCTCAAAGTGTGAAATTAAGAAGTTTAACGAATTTTTCTCTCTGCAAGAAGAGAGGAACCGCGAAACAAAGCTGAGGCATGGAACGAGGACAGATTGAAACCTCTGTTAGAAAATTTCCCTCTTTTACATGTTTCCATTCAGCTGAAAATGCCTTTGTTTTACCAATTTCGCGATTTTTTCCCATTTGTACTTAACAATTCCTTTTTATAGCATTTTTTTTTTTTTGGTGAAAAGGACTGCGCACGCAGTACACTTCTCATTGTACGCTGCACAGTCATTTGACACAGAATAGTTATTTTCCTTTTTTCCCCTCCCCATTCGTTGTTATTGGATTCTTCTTGATAAAATAGCAGTTTGACGTAATTTTTAAGCAGTGCACATGGATTTGCGCATTACACACTTTAAAAAAAAAAAAGTTAAAAATCAATTACACATATGACAGTCTACTCGGTTAAAAAAAAGGAAATTTAAAATAGAACAAATTAAAACGGAAAAAAAAAAATAAAGAAAAAAAAAAAAGGAATATACACATATATGTAAACAATATACACTCATTCGATTACAATTTTTCGAGTTATTTAAGCTTCGTAAGTTTCCTCTTCTTCTGCAACCATGGAAAGAGTCACTAATTAAAGAATGAGGAAAAAATAAAACAATTTTTTCCGTTCACCATTACGCTCCAAAAACGTAACCATTATTATGTTTTTTTTAAAAAAAAAGAAATTTCTTTTTTTTTTTTTGTCATAAATGAAAAAGAAAAAATGCCCTGCCCACACATTCTGCACTAATAGCACCACAAATTAACAACGTTCATGTAGCGGAAAAAATTAAAAAAAACCTTCTGTTAACATTCGTGCTGTCTAAATAAGCAAAATAGTAGATATCGAAAAAGGGGAGCGAAAAAATTTGCGACATCGGGTAAGTAATCTTTTAGCGGGAAGTAGGTACGGAAGTGTCAGCCGCGCTGTAGAGGAAAGAAGGGGCCCAAAAGGCCAATAACTGCAAGAAGCGCGCCCCGTAGGGCACCCACTAGCTCATTGAGAGGCTCACCGTATAGCCCACTCCGTAGCAACTGTCTCAAAATGCCAAATGTGAACCCCAATAAGCCTGGCGCTGACCCCGATTGGGCGCTCTCCCATGGCACCAAAAACCATGTAGGGGAATATGTACAAAACAGTGACATCACAAAACACCTCCTTCAATGTGCCAGCGATATCCAAAGAGGAAGTTTTCACAACAAGGCTGCACAAAACAGCTCCAGCGATAGCACTAGAAGCAGCAACCCTAACAATGAAGTACCCTCCCCCGATTTGTCGACGTCAAATAACGCAGCAAACGCTACTCTTCCGAAAAATCACAACAGTGATGACACGTACGAAGTGTACCAGTTAAACGTAAAAGCTAGTAGCAATGACTCGTCACCGCAAAAGTCAAAGTTGAGTGTAGCTAGCTATGCACAACAGTATGAAGAATCTTACGAAGAAAGAACAAAATTTAACAAAAAAAAAAGCAGCTTTTATGATAATAATGGGGTACCGGATACTTATCCCTTTCTGAATAGCTATAATATTAGTCATACGGACAATGCGAATAGGAAGTATGATAACGGGGCACATCAAGAGAACAATTCCATTGGTGGAGGCAACCCCCAGAACAACAGCACGCAGCATGCTAGCATGTGCGATCAGTGCCGTGGTGTGAGGCCAAATGAGAATGAAGGGGAATCAGTGTGGGGACCGCATAATTTGGAAAACTTCCGCTTGGGCAAGAAAGAGACCTCGAAGTGGGGGTCGCCCAAGTGGGGTCCCGAAAAAGAGGAGCAGCGAAGCGAGGTAAGATGCGAAGTAGAAATCGATTCACCAAATGACGTACCAAATGAACAGGGAAGTTCCAGTTGTGCCTCCCTAGGACCAGCCCATGGCTACCCCAAGGGACAAACCCAAAACGACGGCGATGGGAACAAGAAGAGCGTGCAGAACTGCGATGTAGACAAACAGTCTGAAAATTTTTGCATCAACCGAGAGAGAGCAATGAGTCATACAAAGATATTCAATTATGCCGGAAGTGAAGAGAGGAAAATTACTAAGCCGAAAGATAAGACGAATACGTTTGTCCCAAAGTACAAGAACTTGTCAGCCAAAGAAATCCATTTTAACAGCCTCGCAGGGAATGATAACATAACCATTTTAGCGGCGAACAAAATGAAATTAGATCTTACCAAGTTGTCCGAAAAGAACGAAGATACTTTACCAGATGTATATCCATTTCATCTTTCCAGAGATACAAAAAATGAAGAGGAAAAAAAAAGAGCACATAAACCGCCTTGCTTGGAAAAGTTATACCCTACAAATTTTAACTATATAAATACGTATAACAACAATAATTCTGATATTACCCTGGAGGAAAGAAGAAATTATATGCACTCGAGTCATATTTTTGATTGTGATGATAATAAAATGGACCAACACTATGAGAAGAGGAGTAAAAACACAACGGAAGTCGTCACGCATCGCATCACCAAAGATGTAAGCAATGTGGACAGCGAGAAGGAGGAGAAAAGGAAGGTGAACCCACTGTATAGTGATTTATTTGGAAGGAAAACACCAGATATTAACCACAACGCTCCATGTCAAAAAATCATTCCAACTACTTTGAATTGTAATTGGATGTATTGCCCCATCAACAGCAAGAAGTACTCGGAACAGTCCATTAATTCCTTCGATTATTTACAATCTTGTGAAAAGGGAAACTTTAACAGAAAGTCATATTTTCATAAAGAAGTATATGATGATGAAAGAAAAAAAATTCTTCACGAAGCAGTACAGAAGGGGACCAGGGCTTCGCTCAGAGTACATATGGAATCCATTTTACAGGATGGTGCTAACTACAATTTGGAAGAGTGCAATCATGTAGAAGCAACTTACCTAATTCTCCATAACATAAAAGATTCTGTGTCAGATGACGAGATAAAAGATGCTGTGAGGAAGAGCGGCGCATTCGTAGTTACCTATGAACCGGAGTATGACTTCCTATGTGATACACGCAAAAGCAACGCGAAGTTGTGCATTAGGCATGCTAACGGGAAAGAGGGCTTAAATTTATTAACGAGTTTGTTGGCTCAGCTGGAAATTACAGTTCAGCGCATGTGACGCTGTCCGACTACTATCGTCCTGGAGAGGATCCCTACCGGATGCACCTCCACCAGAGTGTGTGTATAAACACTCCACTTATGATGGCACCCCTTTGAACGCCCCTTTTCCCCGGTATTTGTGAAAAATCGTGGAGTAGGAAATTCATTTATGGTTAATTATAAAGTTAATGCTAAGCGCGAAGGGGGGCGTAAAGTTCGGCACGCAAATTGGCATAAAATTATGCGTGATGTGAAAGCGAAGATAAGATTAAACCCAACCGCAATTTTCTTTTATCTCATTTTTTTAAAGCAGCGCAATTGGAAAAAAAACATTTAATTATACACCACCAGGGGGGAATGATGCCAAAATGACAGCCAGGGAAAAGTCGAGTGACAGCGAAATGGGAGCAATATAACAAAATATTCACGAATCTTTGACCGAAAAAAAAAAAAAAGACAATAAAAAAAAAAAAATGAAATGATCTAAATTAGCCAAATGAAGGTCACCCTCTAGTGAGTTTTCCTCTTATTGGTTTGTGAAGGGTCTTCTGCGGGTTGCCCTTAACCTAAAAAGCAGAAGAAAGGGGGAGGAAGAAGGCAGAAAAAAATAAACGCAAAAATTGTGATAAAAGCTGAAGGCTCTGTTTACGCGATTAAGCAAATACACCGCATACACATGTGCGCGCAATTAGGAACATGCGACGTATAGGCACACGTGCAATAGTCTCATCGATGAATCTTCTATGCGCGTAAAAAAGGCAAAACGAAATAAAGGGCCTTCGTTTTAGTGATGAAAACAAAAGGGCATAAGCGTAGGCGCATAGTGCGCAGTGTTTTAGTTATGCTAAATGTGCGGACTTCGTCTGCCCGACAAATGTCAGATCTGTGCATTGTCACGCGAACAAGCGAACAGACGAACGGACAAACCAAGGGGAGGGTTTGCTTTGCGGCTTAAGTCAAATTGCCATTTTGCACACGCATGATGTATCTTTTCGTGTAAGCAAAATTAGCAATCGACGGGCGAAATTGCACAGAAATGCATTCAAATATTTATTCGTTTGGATAGCAAAGAATGTTATACTGTGTACACATTTAAAAAAAAAAAAAAAAAAGCAAAGGGCCGATTTTTGTTTAACACATTTCTTGCTATGTATTGCTTTACCTTAATCTGTACCTTTCTCTTTCTTCTTTTTTTTTTTAACTTTTTACGTTTTTTTATAATTTTTTCTTCTACATGATCTTCTTTTTTTAATGAATAATCATCTTGATTTAAAGACATCTTTTGGAACTGTTTAAAAATTGGAGGGGAAAAGAGGAGTAAAATTTGTGGCATCGCTTTTAAAGGCTCATGTTTGCGCGGCGGATGGCCTGAGTTCGCAGCGGCTCAGGGGGGTTTGCGCGTTTGCATGAGGGGGTGGAGGGTGTTAGTGCGTAGGTGTGTTGTACGCATAGGTGTGGTTATAATTATGGGTGTGTTGTAGTGTGGGGGTGATTAAACTGCAGTTGCATTTATAAGTTGGGGTATGCTTATAAGTGCAGATTGCTCATATTTTCGCACGCTGATGCCCCTTTTCCGCGCATAAGTTCAAGATCGCAGCTTTTTACATTTATTAGGTTTTCTTCAAACGCTTTATCGAAGAAGTTGGCTTCTTTATTAATTAGACGCCACTAATGGGAAAAACGAGGAGAAGGGGAAATGAAAATTTTGAAGTGGAAGCTTGAATAATCGTATTGCATTCTTTTTTTTTTTTTTTTTCTTTAAGTGGCGAAATAGGATGACACTCATGATTTGTGTGCGCGGATAAGTTTTAAATCAAAAAAATAAACGAAAAGACTTGGAAATGTTGCAAAAAGATAATGACATGTAATGCTCGCATTTTTCATAATAGTACAATTGTATCGATTTTCCTGACATGTTTTTTCTTTTTTATTGAATAAGTATTACTTTTAAGGAAGGTTTGTTTTTTAATCCTGTGTAGACAACCTGGTGAAGATTCTTTGGATTTTTGTTGTTATTTTTACCCATTT